GCCTCCTTCATGCCTCCAGCAGACTCCTTTCAAGAGAATCCCTCCAACTGGTGAGAAGCCTCCTAGCTAAGGCATGTCCTCCTGCCCTTCGTTCTCCAAGGAAGAACTTCTGCTGGGCAAAATATGATCCACAGCACACAGTCCTTAGAGCTGGCAGAAATGAATTTCCAGGATTAATGCAAGAGAAGAGGCTGTGGCAGACTCTTCCACTAGACAAATAACTGCAGAAGTAATACTATAGGTCAGTGATGGCAAACCTTTTTGAGCCTGAGTGCCCAAACTGCAAAAAAATATAAAAAATAAAAATAATAAAAAAGCTTGCATCTGTTAAGAAATACTAGTCAATGTTTTTTATAATTTTGAGTGAGGGCGCCTGTTCTATAATGATGATGATGATGATGATGATACTACAGGTCAGTGATGGCAAACCTTTTTGAGCCTGAGTGCCCAAACTGCAAAAAAATATAAAAAATAAAAATAATAAAAAAGCTTGCATCTGTTAAGAAATACTAGTCAATGTTTTTTATAATTTTGAGTGAGGGCGCCTGTTCTATACGTGCCTGTTCTATGATGATGATGATGATGATGATGATGATGATGATGATGATGATGATGATGAAAGGTACAAAAACTTCCCACAGTTCCTGCAGCCAGAAATGGATGGTGACATATGACTGAAAGAGAGGGTTTGTCACTTACTCCTTCCCTCTCAGCAACCTGTTTTTTCTTGAAACCACAGCTGGGAAGCTTCCGGATCCTGCCTTGCCTTGCCTCGCCATCCCCACCAGCTCATGAAGAGAAGGTACCAGTCCATGGCCCAAGACCAGCTGCCCACTTGCCCACCCAGTCCCCGTAGTTCGAATTTCCCACATGGCCTACTAGGCCTCACCCGCCTTGGCCTTTTACTCACAATTTTCCTCACAATTTAATCTATCATATATGGAAAACATAAGCAGAGCATAAGATTACAAATATGCTCTGTATATCTTGTGTCTGAGGAATCAGGTTGTGACCCACTAAAGCTCCACACTGAAATAAATTGGTTAGACCTTCAGATGCCACAACTGTTTCGATTTTTGCTCTTCAGAGTCTATATTTTCACTGTTTTATTTTCATCCCAATGGATATGACATGTTTTTATATTGCATTAAATGTTTTAATTACTTTTTCAAAATCTAAAACTAAAATGCATAGCCTCTCTCACGTATTTGAAAAGAATTTACCCAAAGAGCAGAATTGTGAACAAAATTTGAACCACAATTTGTTTAGTTTGGTACAGCAATTCTCAAGAAAGAGAAAAAATATATATTTCTGAATAATCACCGACACAGACAAAATGCTGGCACAGAAATGACCCCTGAAAATATAATATGTTTGTCTGAAAAAAATCTATTCCTAACAGTTCTATCCAGTTCTACTCCTTACAATCCACCTTATACATATAAAAATCTTGTCCTACTTTTAAAATCTTACAGTACATCTACATATACTGTACATTGAAGAAATTCATGGATAACCTGCCTCTTCCTCACATATTATGTGACTGAGTTTAAAAACTCTTTCACACAGAACAACTGATTCCATTTTTAAAATAGTGCCACTTAAACACACCTTTGGAATCAAGCAATAACTGCAATTGTTGCACACCAATTGTATAATGCAACAGCACAGAAACAAAATATTGTGGGATTTCCTTTATATCTTTGCACTATCATTTTGAATACCCACCAGCCATCCTTATCAAAGAAGTAGGAAGATCATGCAACACATTGTTTCTTTTCACACAGAAAGAAAAGCATATCAACTAAGTTGCAGACATTTAGTTTACTTAGAGTTGTGCATTAATTTGGATTATACTGAAGAGTAAATATTAGTACTATTCGCACAACATTATAATTTCTGTGATTTTATATGAAGCTCCCAAAGAATTTGAACACCATTATCAACTGTAATACATTTCTAGTTTTGTTTTTAAAAATATCTAACAAAAACAATAATTCATTTGTAAATCAAAGGGATGCCATTCTCACGGAAATCACAAGTTAAGCTGCCTAAAGTGGTCTTATAGGCCAGATAGGTGGGGTATAAATAAAATCAATCAATCAATCAATCAATCAATCAATCAATCAGTCAGTCAATCAATCAATAAACAGAAAAGCTTATACCTGTACAAAATACTGTGAGAATACACACTGATGGCAGGTGCTTTCCTAATTCCCAGATGCACACACATGCCTATGTCTTCCAACACAGCTTCTCTGTTTAAAGATGATGAAATGACTAAAGTTATTCACTTTCTGCCAAAGGGCCACACCTTATCTCGTGTCTAATAATGTAACTGACTTCATTTTCACTGGCAAAAGGAAGGCCAAAAGGCAGTTGGAGAACAAATGTTCAAAGATGAAATTGGAACTCCCAATTTTGAAAAATCCTCATATCTAAACACAGAAAACATTGAAATAAAATGTTCTCCTTTTTTTTCAAACCAATTGCTTATTATGCTTTATTATTATTGCCAATCATATTTTCAGCATTATTAGATCTCTAACCAAAGAAGTTAAGAACCTGCTTTCAAAAGTAGGGCAGAGCTGCTTTACCAGAACTTTTACACGAGTCTCTCTCTGGATTATGCAAAGGAAGCTCTCAAGGAGCAAGTGGTCCATCTCTGCTTTTAGGATAGAGGCCTGCCTTGTCTCAGTCAGGTAACCTTATTCTCACACTAGGACCCCTGTTTACATCTGTAGACAAACCTGGAACTCAAACAGAAACAACACGTCCATTTCCCTTCAGTGTGGAAAGCCTGTGTACATTCCTTTCAAAACGCAGCATTTCTAGTTTCACCGAAGTGACTAGCTAACCACAACCTGCATGACATGTTTTGCTAATGAATATCCATAAACCCATCTTCACAACACACTGATGGGTTCAGATTTTGATGCATGTTACTGAGCTGGTAGATGTAGACCTCCCTGCTCCTCGTGGCACCCCCTCCAGTCTTTCAAAAACGCTACTGAAAGGCTCACAGAATCCTATAAAGTTTGAGTGGAGGAGGGAACAATTGCCCTGACACCATAGGTTCTTAGCTATCTTTTGCATTCAACATAAGAAGGAAGGAAGGAAGGAAATGTAGAACAAAATCTTCATTTCTCCTGCTTGTTTGTGCAAAACTTGGCTTTTCTAAGCTACAACCTCCATTAAAAACAGGCGAAAGTAAAAATCAGTTGTGAAAATAACTCTTTGATACTAATAACTGTTTGATATTTCTGCACATGGTGAGAACATGCAAGTGAATGACACTGAGTGGCTGAGAGACAGCACATTTCTTGCTATTGTGCAGACTGTCAGAAGCTGTGGGAAGAGTCAGACTCAGTCAGTGTCAGTGTGAGTATTCAGATGGACTTTGTGAGTTTGTTTCTTCTTCAATTTCTGCTAATAAAACCATTTGGCTATTATCAGGTAAAGTGATTTTTTGGTATGAGTATTATCGCAGTGAGTTTCATAACAATATGTTTTAGTTGAGCCTCACAATGGATCTCTGGATGAATCAGAAATGTTAAACGATGTGGTTTTTGAGGGTGCATTCTGTTCAAAGCAAAATAAAGCTTCTTCCATTATAGCAAGGAACAGCAGTCAATGAGACCCTTCATGAGAAACTTTAAATAAATATTTGATGCAGTTTAGGGTTTTAAATCTTGAATTAAGTCTGGCAGCAACAAAAGATACTTAAAGGGGGTCTATTGTAAAGAAAAGGTTAAGAACCACTGCCCCAAACCATAAGCAGAACCCTCCTATACATGAAAGGTAGAACATGATGAACCCAAAAGAATTTGGGTCTGAAGACTGTGTAGAGTCACGCTAAACCACAGACTAGCATGCTATGAGCTGCCGCTGGGCACATGTTTGATCTCTGGGCAGCATTCCAAAATGTTACAGAAGACATAGCATTTAAAAAGCTGACTACTGTGTGTTTTTCCTTCTCTGCTTGTCTGAACAGCAAGTCCACACTGTAGGAATAAATTGTCCAGTAGCTAATTAACTGTACAGCTAATATATCATGTTCAAATCTTGCAAACATGATGTAAGTTACATTAACTGACAACAGAAGTCATAGTGATCCCACAAGGGAGATGTCGGATTTTTATTTTACAATTCTTCGTACCTTACTTTCTGCTTGCAGAAGTCTTCTGCAGGCATATGTATATCTGTTCTATCTTTGAACACACATCTGGACAGAGCTGATACATGAGGTCCATGTGTACACCTCATGTATGCATCTAACTCTTCTCCATATGGTATAGGTTATTTTAGAGGGAAAAAGAGAATAACCAGCCCTGTAGGAGCACAGCCCCTGCAGCGTGATGAGATTATGACTAATCTTGTTGAGAATATTATGGCTATGATCCAGCCTTCCATATAATCCAGGTTTACACACGGAGGGGACAGAAAACCATCCACACTGTCCCCTCCCATGCGGCACTCATGGTTACATAACAACAGCAAAATGACTAAAGAGCAAGATCTATTCCACTGCCTTTTTTTAAGTACAGTATATGAAGATTACTTAAGGAATCACATGTCAACATTCCACAGATTCTAGTATGTCTTCATACAAAGGTTATATCACTGATGATATTTCGGCGCCACGTCAAAACCTTCCTGTTCATCTTCCTCAGGGGCATCTAAAAAAGCCAAGGTTGGGGTTCTGCTTTCCCCCACTGTTTTTTTTAAGCCCCTGCATTCATGTATATCAAAACTGGCCAGAGACAACTTATGGACTGAGCAAGAAAAAGGGAGTAGTAGTAGTACACTTTATTACGGTCAAAGACCAGTAAAACCAAATCAATATAAAATAGATACATATAATTATTGTTTAGAAAAGTAGGGCAGGGTAAAAAAAATTCCATTAAAACATGATAAAACAACCCCTTCTTTCCAATTAATAACATAATATATCCTTAATATACGTCAGTGTCGCGGGAGAAACCCGAGACGAGCCAAGCATGGATGCCCAAGACTGTCCCTGCGCCAGCGGAGGCGCATGCACCTGTGGCAACAACTGTCAGTGTAAAAACAGCAAATTCAAGTCATGTAAAAAATGTTGCTGCTCCTGTTGCCCGGTGGGCTGCTCCAAGTGCACCCAAAGGTGTGTCTGCAAGGGATCCCCCCCCCTCCACCAAATGCAGCTGCTGCCAGTGAACCACCCCTCTGCTCCCGGAGAATGGACCTGTATATTTGCCTGCAACAGCGTAACTCTCGTGTCTTATATGTTTGTGTGTTTTCTAGCTTGTAGAAGTGTGTTTAAGGAAAAGGGAATATTACATTCATGAGTTGCCGGTGCTAATGGCTCCAATACCGTATACTGCAGTATCCTTTGAAGCAAAAAAGGAAGATTATTTTCAGTCTCCTAAGGGAGACAGAAACTCTTCAGGAAGTTGAGAACTAGATCCTTTTTTCCACGCTGCTGCTCAGCAAGGCGATTTCCCGCAGGCTGAACTTACAGAAACATAGCCTCATAATATAGATCAAGTAGCCATCTAGCCTGAACTCTACTATAAGGAAGTACCATCAACTTCAAATATGAGCTAATGCAACACTTCTCAAATGTGTCAAAATGATATAAATTAACAATATTCCCATTCTTCATAAAAGGTGTTAGAAGATACACTTTATCACTTTGGATGATGTATCATGTAGCTTCAGAAAATACTACTCTTCCTCTCAATTCCTCATTCTTTCAAAGGGCCCATTGTTGTACACAGCTCCTGAAAGCATTTTATTTATAGGCAGTGGAAAGGATCCAATACAGTTGTATATGGACCATATTTCTCCATCTTACTATTTGTGTCAGTTACCTGAAGCACATCACATCTAAAGAGTACTGTATTCTAGAAATTCTGGAAATGTACTGCAAATGTATTGCATTTGCTGCACAGTGGTACACTACATTTTGAACAAGTCAGTTCAGCAAGAAGAAAGGATACAGGATATACTTTGATATACAATAGCTACATAAATTGGAACAGTTAATTTCCTTGGGAAGCCTGAATAATAATAATAA